GAGAATTAACGAGGCTGCTCTACACGCTGCTGCCATTCCTTTTGGTTCCTGTCACCGATAAGGACTTGGAATCCCACCTGAATGGAAAGACCCTGAGCGCGGCCTTATCTTCCTGCCGGGCGGCGGGCGCACCTCGGGGGTCTGCGGGCCCCTCTCCCGCGCGGGGGTCTTCATGGGCCTGCAGTTCCAGCTGTGTTGTCCCAGAATAAAACACACTCTTTTTTTATTATTAAATTCTTTATTGTTGAAAGTGTTACATACGTCTCCTTCCCCCATTGACCTCGCCGGCCACTTCCACCCCCAGCGCGTGCCCTCACCCCCTACTGTCTGTGCCCATAGGTTCTGCTTATGTGCATCGGGAGCTCATGCAACTTCACAAAAGGAAGACAAACCACCCAATCAAAACACGGGCACTGGACCTCAATAGACACTTCTCGAAAGAGGACGTACAGACGGCGAGAGTCCTATGAAAACGCTCAAAGCCACTCATCATCCGAGAGACAAATCAAAACGACAATGTGGTACCACCTCACACCTGTCAGAATGGCTCCCACCAACAAATCAGCAAAGGACAAGTGCTGGCGAGGATGCGGAGAAAAGGGGACCCTCGTGCACTGCTGGGGGGAGTGCAGACGGGCGCGGACGCTGTGGGGAGCAGTACGGCATTTCCTCAAAAAACAAAAACACGCTCTTGTTCCAGACGCTACGACTGTGGCTTCCTGAGGGGCCGGCCTCATTCAGGTTCTGTGATGGCAAACCGATCGGCCCAACAAACTTCCAGTAAGTCCTTTTCTATTTTTTTAGATATATTTTTACTAGAGGCCTGGTGCACGGAACTCCTGCACGGCACGTCCTGCGATCAGGCCTTCTTCCTCGGTTGCCAGCAGCTGGCCCCGCCCCCCACCCCCACCTCCAGTTCCCGGTTCGCCATCTGGAGATGGGAGCCTGCCGGCTGAAGGGAGGGACTGAGAGGTTGGCTGTTCCCGCCCGCTCACAGGCCCGCCCCCGATGCTGGTCACCCTCTGTGTGGGGTGACGGGCGGGGTGGGGGCCTTGGCCTGGCACTGCCCATGTCGGCCGCCACCCACCCCTGGTTTCCCGTTCCCCATTGGGCGATCAGAGCCTGTCCGCCGGGGAAAGGGACCGGGAGGTTGGCTGGCAGGTCCCATCGGGCGATCAGGGCTGGGGGCTGGGGGCAGCTCCTGCATTGAGCGTCCGTCCCTGCTCATCAATGCACGTCATAGCCACCGGTCGTTCCGCCATTTGGTCGATTTGCATATTACCCTTTTATTATATAGGAGGATTGATTTCAGAGAGGAAGGGAGAGGGAGAGAGAGAAACATCAACGATGAGAGAGAATCATAGATGGGCTGCCTCCTGCACACCCCCTACTGGGGATGGAGCCTGCAATCCGGGCTTGACCAGAATCGAACCCAGGACCCTTCAGCCTGCAGGCCGACGCTCTATCCACTGAGCCACACCGGCCAGGGCTTTTCCATTTGAACAAACCGAAGAATCAGCTGAGCTGGACAGCGAGGTTTAAGGAGAAGCATGCGGTGCGTTGGGTGGACAGGGCGGGCAGGTCTAGGGGGCGGGTCAGCCCATCCCCTTCCTGTGGGCCGTGACCCAGGCCTCACCCCTCACAGTAGCTCATCCCAGGGCAGCGACTGCCAGGGCCACTCAGAGCCCTTCCCTGGGACTAACACGCGGTGCTGGGGGGCCGGCCGCCTGGAAAGGGGGTTCTCAGGTGGAAGGGCACTGATTGGAGCTGTCAGGGCTGCCTCTTCCACCGCCCAGGGCACGCGACTGACCGTGATAAGAAAAAATACGGCCTTTACCAGGACAGGAGTTTTATAACACGGACACGCAGACTAGTAGCTGGTTAGTAGGTGGGAGCAGCAATGCCACCTGAGCCGAAGAGACCCAGAGCCCCAAATACCTGGCTCGCGGGGCGCAGGCCACATGGGGACGGGGAGTGAGGCCCCAGGAGGCGGGGGTCCTCAGACCGAAAAGAACGAAGAGAAAAACCTGAGCGTCGCTCCCGGGTCCTTTATCCCTGTGTCTCCGTCACCAAAGCCAGAGCCCAGGTCCACCCTGCCCGCCCGCCTGGGCC